TATCCTTTCACAGCTAGGTTTATGCTTGCTATTCAGTTTTTCAAAACCAAACAAGATAGGGCTTAGGAAGACATACTATGGCAGAGACTGGCTTATTGTTCACCAAGCCATTTCCCTTTTCTGCCCACAGCTATGCTACATTTTACAGACTTCCTTGCCATTACATGCAGCCATTTGAGTTCTAGCCAATGGAATGTGGGCAAAAGTGATGTATGCCATGTCCAAGCCTGGCCCATCAAATTTTCCACATAATCTATCACTGAGGTCTTTGCCCTCAAATCTGCCAGCCAGATGCAGAGAACTCAGTGAATGTCTCTGAGGCCACAGGGGATGGCAGAGTCACTAAATAGAAGGGGCCTGGATGACTGTGCGCAACAAATTATTCCTTTGCCACTATTTCTAACAGCAGACAGAGATATGAATGAGACATAAATTTTGTGTTAAACCACTGAAAGTTGGGGGTTGTTTGTTAAAGTAGTTTAGCCAATCTGACTGATAAACACAAAAAGGTGGTAGAGCTATTCAGATTTTCAAAATTAAACAGCATATGGATTAGAAACACATATGGAAGGTGGGATGGATTGCAGGGTTGGGGGGTTGGTCCCAATGGATGATTAATACGTAAAATGGGATTGTGATCACCTGGAGAGGAAGGGGTGCCACTAAAGGATATATACAGGGAACTTCTAGGATAATTGTAATGATCCATTTCTTGACCCAAGTAGTAAGACCATAGGTGCTCATTTTATTATTCTTCCTGAAACTGTATTATTTCGTATTTGCCTAAAATACATTAGATAGATAAAACAAACACTTGAAAAATCTGTTGGAGCATTTGGGGAAAATAGAGTGAATAGAAAATTAAGCCAAAAACCAATTAAAAAAAAAAAAAACAAATAAAGTAACTCTTTACCCATTGGAAAAACTGAAACTTAAAAAAGAAAGGAAACAATCATGATACAATACTTGTCTAAGCAGTAAACAATATTTAGTTACAATAAAAATACCAACTTAGTGATTTAAAATTATAAAACTGGAATGTTGCAGGACTTCAGTATCCTCCCTTCTTCTGTGCACACCTTTGTGTAAACACCTCCCTCCCCAAGAATGTGGGCAGGACTTGTGACTTGCTTCTAACCAAAAGAATATGACAAAAGTTATGAGATGTCATTCCATGATTATGTTACATTATACAATACTGTCTAGCTAGCACAGGTCTTCCAGACTTTCCTTGATGGTTTGATGAAGTGGTCATATCGGAGAAACACCATGAGGCCAGAAACTTCAGGTTGCCTCTAAGAGCTGAAAGCAGCCTTCAAGAGCTTGACCAAGTAATCTCTAGTAAGCAAGAAGCCTCAGTCTTAAAACCACAAAGAAATTAATTCTGCCAAAAATCTTAATGAGTTTGGAAGCAGATTTTTATCAGTTGTATCTCCAGATGAGAATTCAGCCCAGCCAACAACTCGATTGCATCCTCGATGAGACCCTGAGCAACAGACCTAGCTAAGTCATACTCAGAGACCCACCCCACAGAAACTCAGGGATAATAAATATGTGTTAAGCTGCTAAATTTGTGTAATTTGTTACACAACAATAAAAAAAGAATACAATAGCTTTTTAAAATGTCGGATGAATAAATTTAGCAAAGCTGTAGGATGCAAAATCAATTCAAAAAAAAAAAAAAAACTCAATTGCATTTCTATACACTAACAATAAACAATCCAAAAAGGAAATTAAGAAAACAATTCCATTTACAATAGCATCAAAAGGAATAAAATACTAAGGAATAAATTCAGCCAAAGAGGCAAAAGATCTGTATACTAAAAACTATAAAATGGTGCTGAAAGAAATTAAAGGAGATTGAAATAAATGAAAAGCCACCCAATGTTCATGGATTAGAAGATTTATATTGTTAAAATGCCAATATCACCCAAAGAAATCTACAGTCAATGCAATCTCTATCAAATCCCAATCACATTTTTTGTAGAAAAACTCAACCTAAAATTAAAGTTCATATGGAATCTCAAGGGACTTCAAATAAACAAAACAATCTTGAAAAAGTATGAAGTTGGAGGTATCATACTTCCTGATTTCAAAACTTACTAGAAAGCAACAGTAAACAAACAGTGTGTTACTAGCATAAAGACATAAAGAATATGATAGAGAGTACAAAAATAAACGCTGGCATATATAGTCAAGTGATTTTCAACAAGATTGCCAAGATCCAATGGGGGAATGGACAGTCTTTTCAACAAATAGTGCTGGGAAAAATAGATATCCACATTCAGGATAAGTTGGACCTTATCTTACATCATATACAAAAACTAATTCATAGTGAATCAAAGAAATAAATGTAAGTGCTAAAACTATAAAACTCTTAGAAAAAAAAAACATATGCAAAAAGCTTCATTGGATTTGGTGATGATTTCTTGGATATGGCACCAAAAGCCCAGGCAACAAAAGAAAAAAAACTTCATCAAAATTACAGTTTTGTACCCTCATACATTGCCGGTGGGACTGCAAACTGGTATAGCCTCTATGGAAAACAGTATGGAGGTTCCTCAAAAAAATAAGAATTGATCTACCATATGATCCAGCAATCCCTCTACTGGTTATTTACCCCAAAGACTTGAAAATCCTTATCCGAAAAGATATTTGCACACCGATGTTCAGAGCAGCATTACTCACGGTGGCCAGGACATGAAAGCAATCGAAGTGTCTTACAGTAGATGATTGGATAAAGAAGCTGTGGTACTTATATACAATGGAATATTACTCAGCCATAAGAAGAAATGAAATATTACCATTTGCAACAACATAGATGGACTTCGAGATAATCATGCTAAGCGAAATAAGCCAGACAGAAAAAGTTGAAAATCACATGATATCACTTACATGTGCGATATAAACCTAAAAGCAACAAATGAAAAGGACAAACAAACAGAGACTCACGGAGGGGTCAAATATAAAGGGGTAGGGGAAGGGTGAAGTGGGTAAAGGGGATCAAATATATGGTAGCTGAAGGAAACTGGACTTTGGGTGGTAAACACACAATAGAATACACAGATGTCAAATTATAATGTACACCTGAAAATTATATAATTGTATTAATCAATGTTACCTCAATAAACAATTTTAAAAAACTTTTAAAAAAATTAAAGTTTTGTGCATCCCAGGACACTATCAGCAATAAAAAAGCAACCCACAGGAGAAAATATTTGCAAATCATGTATCTGATAAGAGATTAATATCTAGACTATATAGAGAACCCCTAAAACTGAGCAATAAAACAAACGACCCAATTCAAAAATGGGCAAAGGGGTTGAATAGATATTTCTCCAAAGAAGATATACAAATGGCCACTAAGCACACAAAAGGATGTTCAAATCACTAATTATTAAGGAAACAAGGATCAAAGCCACTAGAATGGCTGTTATTAAAAAAAGAAAGAAAGAAAATAAGGGTGTCAAAGATGTAGAGACCCTGAACATGCCCAATCCCGTCTGATTTCAGAAGCTAAGCAGGGTTGGGCCTGGTTAGTACTTGGATGAGAGACCACCTAGGAAGACCAGGTGCTGTTGGCATTAAAAAAAAAAAAAAAGATGGAGAGAAATTGGAACCCTTGTTCACTGCTGGTAGGACTGTAAAATGGTGCAGCTGTTGTGGAAAACGGTATGACGACTTCCTCAAAAAATTAAACAGAATTGCTCTATGATCTAATATTTCCATTTATGGGCATATACCCAAAAGAAATGAAAGCAGAAACTTGAATAGTTATTTATACACTTGTGTTCATAACAGCATTATTCACAATAGCTAAAAAGTGAAAGCAAATCAAGTGTCCATCAACATATAAGGATAAACAAAACATGGTATATACATATAGTGGAATATTATTTAGCCTTAAAAGGAGTGAAATTCTCATATATGCTACAACATGGATGAACCTTGAGGACAATGTGCTAAGTGAAATAAGCCAGACACAGAAAGAAATATTATATGATCCCACTGATATGAGGTACCTAGAGTGGTCAAATTCATAGAGACAGAAAGTAGAATAGTGGGGAATGAGGAGTTATTGTAATGGGCACAGAGTTTCAATTTGGGATGATGAAAAAGTTCTGGAGATGGATGGTGGTGACAGTTGCACAACAGTGGATGTACCTAATGCCACAAAATTATACATTACAAATGGCTAAAGTAGTACATTTTATGTTATGTGTATTTTACCACAATTTTTAAAAACTCTGGATGGACAGCAAACGGTGAGTTTAAAAAGACAGAAGGACAGTGACCCTCTCATTTCCAATATACCAATATCCATGACAGAGGAAGAAACATCTAATCTAAAATTGAATTTTTTTCTTTCTATCTTTAGTCTTATAATCTTTGGGTCACATAACTGAAATACTTTTAATTTTTAATAGCAACAACATGTATGCTTATTAATTGTACTTTCTGTTGTTATGATTTAAGTTATTTAACAGGGAAATAAATATTTTAACATCCTAATCCTCTGCATATAGTATACTATACTTAGAAAACAGCCAAAAGTTTGCTCCCAGCTGTTAAAACGTTTCTACTTAGGAAAGTGAGGGATGTTGAAAGAATAACAAAATGATCAGATCAAGTAACTGAAAAATTGCTTCCTAAAGCATTAAAGATATGTCATATCAAAACTAGTTAAAATTTTGCTGTTCATAATAAAGGAAAACTAAGACATACGGGCTCAAAGTGAAAATAGACAAAGATTAAGTATGATTATTAAGTAAGGGTTTTAATATACCATTTCTGAGAAAATAAAACACCCTCTTATGCATTTGTAGTCCAAGGCTTTCTCTACCTCTTTTCCACTCTCACCTGCTTTGTTCTAACTTCACTTCTCTCTTTTTTTTTTTTTTTTTTTTTGAGGAGGAGGAGGAGAAGGAGTGGAAGGCTGAGATAGGGAAGGGAGATAACAGGAATAAACCAGATAATAGGAAAAGAGAAGAAAGAAAAATTCTCTGGTTTATTTTTTTCTCCTCACACTGAATACTAAATACATCATCATCATCGAATGCTAACAATCCAAATTTCTCAGGGCAGGGGAAAAGCTAAATTTCCAGGAGTCACAGGAAATTTAGCTTTGTATCTATAAATTAAATCTACATACTGAATTCTTCAAACAACCTTGACTGTAATATAGCCTTTGGTTAATTATGGTGACATGAACCTTGGTCCAAAGGGTGGAGCTCTGCTCTTAAACAGCTTTCCTAAGAAGTGAAATGAGTTAAAGAACTTTAAACTCAAATGCTTCATTCACTAAGCATAGAAAACACCACGGTTTTCATAAGAAAGCACATGGTACAGGAAAGCAGGGAGACAGCATCTACTAATAACCAAGAGTATAAAGACATAACTTCATGAAATTATACACAATACTGTTAACAGTTCTATGGGAAGAAGAAAATGAGAACTTGGAAAGAAGCTAATTTCTCTGTATGAACTCAAAATAATTCTGTAAAACAGCCCATCATTCCCAGTGTCCTTTTGGTCCCAATGATAAGTGTGAAGGTCTCTAATTGAATTAGAGTATTTTAACTAGGGCATGGCCTCCCTATGCCAGTAACTGTAATGTTTTTCTCATGTTGTAAAACATGCAGCTGATTCTTGGCAAACACTCGAAGAACCAGAACATAACATCAATATTGGTACAATTCTGTGCTCCTCATTGTGCACATTTTTCTAAAATACTTTCATTAGTTTTCCTTAATCATAGTCTTTCCTTTAAAAAGGAAGACAAAACACTGGATCCTAGGATATACATGCTAAGCTGATTTTCACCCCAAAACTGGGCCTTGATCTTCTGAAAGCAAATGTCCTTTATAAGCTCCCTCTTCTGTGGTTGCCACTTTTCCCAAACCTCAGACCTTCTTGACTCGCGGTGGGGCCAGGACAGATTAGTTATGTGGTAGGTTCTGTCAGGCGAGCTTTGACAAGGCCTCAAAATAGACCCTGGGCACCAGCCAGGGAAACTGCCACTCACAAGTTCCAATTTCATCATAACACGTTAGCCCCTCAGCACTTTTTTTTTCTCTAGTCTCTCTCATTTTAAAAGGACAAAGATTCTTGAACCTCCTCCTGGTCAAGAGTGAGCCGTATAACACAAAAATTTAAAATTTAAACCTCCCTTATTCTGCTCACAAACGCTCTGCAGACTAAAGACTCGATCTGTACCCATCTCCTGCCTTGGGAAATTAATCCATCAGTAGCACTCTGGCTTGCAAAAGGATTTTTGTATTTCAAACTCCACAGAGGTTTATTTTATTATAAATAGACTAGGATATGGAAGATAAAGGAAAAAGAGGTAGATTATTTATTTCCCATGACTAATAATATAGTAGCAGATTGCGGCAGGACAAGAAGTTAACTATACATAATGTTTTTCATTGATATTGGTCATAAAATCCTAAAACTATCAACTTACTACAAAAGATATTCATTTAACTATTACCAAAATATAAATGAAGTGGTTTGTCTACAACAGCACCACTCTTCAAGCTATACAGTATTTTAACCCTTACCAGTACAAATAAAATTATGTGTCTCTCTAAAATATTTTAAATTGCCTTATAAAATACAGTTGCGGTTTTTTTTTTAAATGAAGAGGAAGATAAAGAATACAAAGTACTTAAGAGCTCCTTTCTCCTTATGCCGTTAAGAAAAAAGTTAACTTGTTATAAAATAAAGCCCAATATGGAATTGAAACAAAGTTCTAGATTTTCACAACTTAAATCCCAAGCTTACAATCACACTTTCAGAAATAAATTCCATATACATACTTATGGAGTAGGGCAAAGGCTTATATATGAGTTGTTCGATGTAGGAGAGCTTGTAGAAAGCTAAAAACAACCTCAATGTCTATTAAAAGGAATTGGTAAAGTAAATTATGGAAAATGGATAAATTATCGTTCATCTCCACTAGGCAGATGAACATACGTGCTAATACAGAAAGATCTCTAAGACAGATCAAGGGTAAAAATGAAAGGTACTCCTAAACGTGTGGAGAGGGACACACCAGAAACCATTAATAGTGGTTGCTTGGATTAGGGATGGAGGAGTGAGGAAAGAATATAAATATAAGTTTATTGTGGAAAGGAGACTCCTTTTTCACCATATAACATTCATTTTCAAATGTTTTATCAATTTTAAAAAGTCCTGTAAACATATACTGAACCCATGAAGTGAGCACTCTCCTTTCATATACGCCATTTCTTCCCTCTTCTTAACCATTTCCACTTTTATCTATCGCCATCCCTACCACTGGACCAAAACAAAAGCATATATACAAAGCAAACCTCAGTTTCTCCAAGAATTCTGTCTCCCCACCAAAATAAAGAAATAATAGGCCAAATGAAAAAGTATAACATATGATAAACCCTGTTTTTAGCTCATTGTTTGATTCCTTTAAGTCTGGCCCAACTTGCTGTAGGCCAAAAAGCTTCAAAAGTGGAAGTACAATGTGCAACAACAAAAAAAAGATGTCTTATCAATTATCTTAAAGGGGAAAACGAAGAAAAGGCAAAGTTATTTTACTCATAGAGTAATTTTGTTCAATTCCTCCCTTCTGAAGTTTAAAAGTTGAGTTTTGAATGATGGTATAAAGTCTATCCTTTATTTGCAAACTGGACAAGGTAGTACATTTTCCCGGTTAAAGGACCATCTCTCTACTCAGATTCACCACAGAGAAAGCAACTTCCAAAGAGGAAAAGGCTATGAAAGGGCCTCTATTTTGTAGGTACAATGATCTTACGGTGAGGACAGAAGAATTTTATTTCCTCTTAAGTGATCCTCATCAACATTTCCAGCACACTCCAGTGAGAATTTTTTTTTTTTCCTTTCATCAATTCTGTCCCTTTTCACACTAGGAGCAGAGTAAATAAACAATTCACAAAGAGCTTTGCAAGAAACTGCTCCCTCCCTCTTATTTCTATCTAGTAAAGATCTGTTTTTGTTTTGAGAGAGAAAAAAAAATCTACTTTGCTAAATATATTCTCCCTATCACTTTTTTCTTTCATTATGGAGATGCTTAAATCCTGACCTTGGAAGGCTTCTCTAGCATATCTACCTATCAAGACTGTCAGTGACGGTGGTTTCCACAAGGGATTTTCCAAAAGGGAATCTCTATTCACGGGGAACTAAAACTCTTATGTCACTATTAGCTGGACAAAAATCAAAAGCAGCATTAGAGAACACTCTGCACATAAGATATCCGAGAAAACAAAATGCCAAAATTTAGTCTAAGAATTAAAGGAATTTGGTAAGCAAGACCAACAGGGTAAACTTACCATTACATTATAACTGATAACTAGTTAAAGTTCTTTGTAAATGAAAATGAAGGTAAAATATGCTGAATTCAAGAAAGAAAAAGAAAAAAGGCTAAGAGTATCAAGAACTCTTATGATTCAAAGTCATTTTGCTTAACAACACTTTAAAGGCCAAAATGATCAAGTTACATTTCATCAATAAGAAGTTATTTCTAGTTTGAAATGAATTCATTCCAATAATAACTTTGATACACACGTTCTTCTATATCAGAACTTAAGTAGAACTCAGTATACATCATCTCATTCCACATTTTAAAAGATAGATTCAGCAAAATAGGTGAGACCTTTCACTCAAAAGACTATTTTGAATACTGCAGATTCTTTCAGTGAACTTTTCCCTTAAAGATGACAGCTCTCCTTTTCAATGACGTTTATTTCCAGACCCCTTCATCTTCCGTTCTTGGGGAAAATATGCATAAAAATCACAACAATCCACCTAGGAACCAACAAACAATTCTAAATTCAAACATTCTACAGAAGTTCAGTTTTTATTTCCTTACTATACTTCATGACAATAAATATACAGCAACAAACTTAACCAAGTACAATACAACACTCCTATAAAATGAGTGAAGGCATCCAATTAAACAGGCTGTAACAAACTTTTAGCTTTCCTCTACTTCAATCTTAAGCTCCATATCAATGATTCACAAAGTCGTGACCTAACTTCCTAAATGAATCACACTTTCCAAATTCTTATTCTACATGAGTATAATATTATGTCATCATCTCTATATTTGTTAAACAGAACAGGATGTTGGTAAAACAGGGTTAATTCTGCAGACTTTCAAACCACAGCAAACCTCAAGTCCCTGCCAACTCTTATCTGCAAGACTTCGCATTCTGCAAAACAGATTTATCCCCCAAATAAAATGTTATCTTGAAAAAAATGTTATTTTAAACATTAAGAACTCATCCATCGATACCCAGCTCTCCATCTAATGCCACTAGTGCATCCACATTCTCTTCCCATTGTGTTAACATAAAAAATTAATGGGCATTTTGCTATCCTTCCATATATCTTTTAGTCGATTAACTTACTCTACAGTTTTTCTGTTTACGGCAGAAATGCTGAGTCATTAAATGGAAACTCAAAAGAAAATGAGCTACAAACTAAACTTTAGTATACAATATTTCCTTAGCTGTATCTCAGCAGCTTGATATTTGTATCTCTCGTGGTAAAATAAAATTAATTTAATTGAAAAAGTAGAGCACACTTGAACTTCTCCCGTAAATAAGAGGTGGGCTTCCTTAGGTCCTCTTGCTTCTTGCTGTATATCCACAGGCAAGAGAAGCAGGCCTGACTGGACTATATAACTTAACAATCTGGGTGTGAATAACATCCCTTATTAGTCAAGCATTTACCCTGACACTCCTAGCAAGTGCCTGTTATACCCGCGCTTTGGTTCGGGTCAAGGAGGAAGAGGGAAAAAAAAAAAAAGCCATAAAAATGCTACGCCCTCCACCGGCCTGACACTGTTCCCTGGGGTGACTGCCTGAGGACAGAAACGAGGCTATGCAGCGTCTGGGAAGGAGAAGAAGGCACCCCGAGCACCCGAAGCAGAAGGACAGCAGCCTAATTTAATTTCTCATACAATGGGAGTAACACCTTCCCTTCGCGCGGACGGAGAGTTAGAAATCAGGCGTGATGCCGGGGACCGCGGCAGGCAGGGGGGCGACCCCGACCCCAGGGCCCGCCAGGGCACTCGGGCAGCTGCAGGGAAGCCCAGCCCCCAGAAAGGGTCAGCGGCGACGCGGACCTCCTGGGGCAGCAAATTCTGGG